TTGTAATTCAGTTCTTACCTAGAGAACCAAGGACAGTATTGATGGTGCCATAAATGCTGTATTCCACTTCGTCGAAGCTGAATTTTCTTATTGCGTAAAGGTAGCTCACTTGAGAATCGCCTGAAAAACAAAAGACGGTCAATAAAGCAGAAGTTGTTTCAAAAATTTTAAACATATTAATGTTTATTTACAAAGAACAACTCCTAGAGCTTCTAATTCATTCTTGTCAGGGAATTTGCCTTACGAATAAGGCGATTATCACACTGCAACGCGCCCCGCGACGGAGCGCGGAACGCGGATTCACGCGCGCGTGACGCGGAATCACGCGTGCGAGACGCGGAATCACGCGCGCGGTGGCGGAGACGCAGATCTGCGTCAACGCGCGGTTTAATCTGCGCGGGGGCAGCGGTCTAGAGGCCCCGCGTCACTCGCTTACTAGTACTCGCTTCGCAGTTGATAGCCGTAGTGATTGTATATGTAACCGAGATCCTTCTTTACTAAGAATGGTTAATAATACAGAACTCATTCAAGAAGCTGCAGTTATACTGTCTACTTGGTTTTTGTTTACTCAAATAAAAAGACACCGAATATATTGGATACATCCCTTTTTACGAACCAGATCGATAAATGGATAATTTCAACTTCATTACAAAGATTTAAGAACATATGAAGATAAATTCGGTCGATTTTTCAATAGCAAATATAAATTTATCGACGTCGAGATCTATTGTAGAAAACTAAACATATCCTTAAGCTTAAAAATATGCGCGGTAGTGCGCAGTGTGCCATACCCTGCGGTTCGTCGTGCTCCTCCGCGCGGGAGCGCAGTAAAAACGCGCGCTACGCGCTCCCGCGCACAGAAGCGTTGTCAGTGTGTTCGATGGCGCGTGTTTTCCATACAAACTGAGGTACTTCAGTACAAAGTTAAAAAACGCAGCTCCGCGCTCCGTGCTCCGTCGCGGGGCGCGGTGCAGTGTGATAATCGCCTTAATAGTAGATTTTGATAAATGTGACGTGTCAAGTGTTAATGTGTTTAGATAGGAAATAAAAATTTTAATTTAAATTTAAAGCCATGTGCAAAACTCAAAGGATTCTTATACCAAGTAAATGTTTTCTATGTAAGTCAGGTGAACCATAATAATACAATAAAATTATAAAAATCTAAAAACAACAAACTTTTTACAATTAATTAATTTGCGTTCAGTTATTTCGTAATTTAAATCTTTATTAAAGGTCAAAAATTACGATTTTTTTAACCCATGTAATTTTAAAACTACTGCAACCGGCACAGTTAAATACTGCAGCACTAGTAAAATCCCTTAAATAATGCAGTGTTTTTTGAAAGTCTGATCAACTATTTTATTTTTATATTTTAGGTTCAATTTGAAAATAAAAAATTTGTCGACTGTCATTTTTTTTATTGATTTTTTTAAATTTCCTACGGATACAGGTTTTTTCGAGTAATTGGAGGTTGATTTTGCGTTCTTAAACTTTAGTTGAAAAAGTTTTTTTTAAATTTATATAACTCTTTCATTACTCATCTTAAATTTTGAAATTTTCATCCTTTTCTGCTATGTCACAAAATCTAAAAAATAAATTAAAAAAGGCATTTTGATTCATTTCGATTTTTTCAATAAGGGTTGAGTAGAGCTATACAAAGTCGATGTCAGATGTCAATTTAATTACTGCTTTACGTTTAATTCTTGTCTATTTCAAGTTAAATATACATGATAGTATTTTATATTTTCACATTTTTGTTCCGCTAAATGTACCAACCGTGGTAGCCTAATAGTTCGAACCGTCTACCTACCACATAACATCCTACCGCCTCTCAAGCAGCTGAGTTTCTCAAGATTTATGTGCGAAATTTAATTTGAAATTTACCAAGAGCATTTCGGTGAAAGAAAACATTTTGATGAAACCTACTCGGCAAAGAAGGTTCACAATCCTCGGAATGTGAAATACCCAACATTGACCCGCATTGGGCCCGCGTCGTGGACTATGGCCTAAACTCTCGTTTGACAGGAACAAGCCCTGCAGTAGGACGTATAAATGGTTTCATAACGATCATCATCATGATGATGATGAAATGTACCAGTACTTGTATCCAATTAAGTGATAAGTTGGCAAATGATGTCTCTGTATATTAGTTTCTAGGTCATATCTACTGAGTTAGTTTGATACAATAATATACACCACAGGATTAAACTTAGTTTAAATGGAACATGCTCGAGTTATCAAGTATGAAAATACCCACATCAAGTTTCTAGGGATCTTGCACGTTTTTGCAAATTTTTGAAAATCAGATTTTTAATGATTTTTTTAACATGAATGGATTTTTTGGTCAATTTCCAATTTAAATTATAAAATTGGTCATAAAATCTGTGTCAAAAAAATTTCATTCATAAAGCTGACTATCGTAGTTATAAAGTTTAATTTTAAAACGTGCTTGATCCCTAGACATTTTTGATGTGTGTATTTTCAATACCTTGAGAAGTATTCATTATATTTACTAGCTGTTTAAAAATAAATAATTTAATAAAAACATGGTAATTGCTTTTTTCCCCACGCTTTATTTTCAACTCAACCCTAAAGACACGACTTATGCTATCACTGCGTAGTTTAGTAAAAATGATACCATTAACAAATTGTTTTGGAAGTTTGAGGAAAATAAACAATACTATCAGATAATCATTTTCTGGTTTCCTTGTAAATAATTTAACTTTAACGACATAGAGAACAAATAGAAGTTATCTATCGTGTCGTATTACTTCTGAACGATCAGTTAATAATGAGGTTTCTTATCCCAAGCACGTTAACTTATATTTATATTTTGAGCCCGGAATTGCTGATTTTAATATTGATTGTAATCAATATTATGATGTCTTACTACCTAGATATTCATCTTTTTTTTTTTTGTAAAATATACCAAGTGACGGGATGAACAATTCGTGTACCTGGTGGTAAGCGACACGCCCATCCACAGCAGTTGCAGTGGCACTCACAACTTTTAAATTTGCAAAGATTTGATGAGCACTGCCACCGCACCCGTCACCCCTTTGACATAAGATGACAAGTCCCATGTACCTCTAATTTCACCAGCACCCTGACGCTTCCAAACCGGAACGCAGTTTTATATAAAGGTCAAACACAAAGAATAATTCCTACGGTCTGACAAGATTCGAACCTGCGTCTGTGCCATACCAGGGCGATCGCTCTACCACCTGAGCTATATACAGATCGAGTCAGCAGACCTTACCTTATTATTATATTTAGACCTTCTATGCATTTGATACATTTTTTAAACTCTTTGATCATTATTAAACATGTCGGCTCCATTAGAAAAACAATACACTAAGAAAACACTTAATAAAATCCAGAAAGATAATCCAAAATATTGCCTAACCAAACATAATCTTCGCGGCACTACATGTTGGCTCCGACAAAATGGATTGAAACCGCCCAACATTAAATATATGGAAACCAACCTATGCAAATTACCGTACCCTGATAAGTTCCGGTTTTTTTTTAACAGATTTTTTGCCGTAGCGCCATCTGTGAAAAATTTATGAAAAATGTTGATTGTTGGCAACAGCATTTGCGTAGTCTGTGTTTAAAAAATTTGCTTGTTACAATTCCGTACCAAACGAGGGACAAAAATCTTACATGTCGCTCTTTCTACCGAGCGTGCTCTAGATCCAATTTTGAATGTTAACTATTCATTCTTGATGACATTTCATAGACGTGACTATATTATCATAAAATTTTACAGCTACCGAAATATTGCAATACATAGTTTGTTCAAAAAAAAACAATGTTATATACAGCGTTTTAAAGGTCCGAGTTTTAACAGTGCAATGAGTGTTACGATTTTTAAAAACAAATATAAACAATTACAGAACTTCTCTTTACGTCATTTTATCCTTCCCTCGCTTAATGACTTACACCAATCTTTAGAGACTACGCATGCAACAGTGAGTGTACTTGTGTGTGTTGTCCGAGGTTTTCTATAGCAAAATTTTCAATTATTATTGAAAATATTATTTCTTTTCCTTGTTTTATTTTATTACTTATTATATGTAATCTCATTTATTTATTCAGACCATAAAGTCAGAAATTAATGAACTAGTAGGACTCGTAAATACGACGCATTTAAATTATAGGGAAATTTCATTGACTTACAAATAAATGGACGACGGGTCTAATACAAAAACCACGAAAAAAATGTCCCAAGTCAACCTATTCGAAATTTAAATTGTTATGTCATTGCAGTATCGCGCTGTTCGTAGAACAAATGAAGACTAAAGCGGAGTGTCGCGCTCTGTATACGATTTTAGCGCCTTACAAGTGCGGACACTTTTTAGCGCGGACCCGACGTCCATATAATTGTAAGTCAATGGGAAATTTACTCAAATCACCATGATTAAAGTGATTTTATTCGACTGAGAAATCTCCTACAAAGTTCAAAGTTATTGTGATTTGTAGGTATGTTAATATGTTTAGGTGATTATTATGTACTAAGTCACTAAAACGGATTTAGATACAATATTGCAAACAAGCCATTTTCTGGATACATACATATATCTCTCGCCGTTCTCTCATCGGGGCAGGCAGAGAAATGTTTATACCTGTAGTGCGTTTCCGTCTTTTTATGAAGTAAATTCTCACTTCACATAACAGTAACCATCATTATTTATTGAGCAAACTTATGCATTACAAAATCTTATTTCTAGATAGCATGAACCCTGGCACAGCCAATAGCACAAATTGTGTCATAATAGTTACTATCAATAATCTAAATGACTGTAGGTATGTTAAGTCATGCATACCACAAAGTTTCATTAATAATTAAATAGATACACGTATAAAATATATTCTACACTTGAACAAATATAAAAACACAAATCATGTCACAAAAAAGAAGAAAATGTCTAGGTGAGCTAAAAGAGAACAAAGAAACAATTTTCTGTCGACGAACGCTATGCTACTAGATCAAAACAATCTAAGACTGAAAATTTAAATAACAAATTACTACGGCCATCAAACGGTTATAATAAATTGTAATCTAATCCAATGTGCAACAATCTTCCACAGAGAATAATTTAACCAGATTCAGTGCT